TTGCAGAGAGAGAGGGAAAGCGGCCAGAGATCTGACTGGTAAGAACCCCTTACCCTTCGTCGGCACGCCAGGCTTCCAGGTTCCCTTTCCCTAAGTTTGGCCCTAGTGACCCAGCTGGCTGCACCACAGCCCTGGGGCTGCAACACAAAGGAAAATTATCTTTTTCTGTTCTGGCCAGAGTAAAATACACGTGGCAAAACAAGAGAGTAGCCACTCTGCTTGGCACCCAGTATCAAACCGGTCACACTCAAACTTGCCCCGGACCGGGCCCTGCCATCGTGAATCCAACCTCCGACCATGTGGTCTCTGGGCAAGATGGTCTCTCTGAGTAACAGGAAAGATAAGAAAAGGCAAGAAGAGAAACGCAGAAAGAGAAGTGTTGCTGCGGCAGGGTGGGGACGGTGAGGCACTCAGGGAGGAGAAGACCCAGCCATCCCAGTGACCCTGAATCAAAAGTCAGGCGGCTGCTGTCAGTCAAGAAGGGATCTTTCCCAGCAGTCCCATTAGCTGTTAAGGGCCCCCCTCTGGGGAGGAAAAAGCTCCACATGTCCCGTGATCCTGCACATGCCTCACTCTGTCACCCACAGCCATCAGCAAAGACTGCAAGGGAGATTCGTCCAAAGAGAATAGTGGTTCACATCCCACAGTGCCAAATCTGTTCTTAGCTCACAGGACCCTTACCGAGTGGGGCTTCGAATCCCCTAAATCTTAGAAGGAACTCTAACCCTCGTAAATTGAGTCTCAAATGCAAGTTTGGGCAAGTATCCTTTCCATTGATTAAGAGGGGCCTTGCCAGGCACGGTGGCTTATGCCTATAATCCCAGCACTTTGGGAGGCCAAGGTGGGCGGACCACCTGAGGTCTGGAGTTCAAAACCAACCTGGCCAACATGGTAAAACCCTGTCTCTACTAAAAATACAAAAATTAGCCAGGCATCATGCTGCATGGCTATAATCCCAGCTACTTGGGAGGCTAAAGCAGGAAAATCGCTTGAACCTGGAAGGAGACTGCAGTGAGCTGAGATCACACCATCGCACTTCAGCCCGGGCAACTAGACTGAAACTCCACCTTAGCATAAAAGGGGGGCCTTTAACCCTCTCGGTCTTAGGAGACCCTCCAACTCTCTTAAGTTGGGTCTCTGGGGAGGAAAAAGTTCCACATGTCCCCAGAGCTGAGGAGGAGGAGGAGGTAGCTTAACGCAATCCCATCCTTCCTCGGGTACCCGACCACTTGCCCAGATTGGCCAATTTGTGCTGAAGTCTATTTACTTTGGGTCAGGGGCTCCTCAGTATGAACCCTTCTGCGGTTTGACAGAACGATGTTACCGGAAAGGGGTCCCAATCCAGACCCCAAGAGAGGGTTCTTGGATCTTGTACGTGGAAGAATATGAGGCATATCCATAAAGTGAGGGCCAGTTTACTGAGCAGGTAAAGGAATAAAAGAGTAGCTACTCCACAGGCAGAGCAGACACGGGGCTGCTGGTTACCCATTTTTATGGTTATTTCTTGATTACATGCTAAATAAGGAGCGGATTATTCATGACTTTTCCAGGAAAGGGGTGGGCAACTCCCAGAACTGAGGTTCCAACCTCTGCTTGTTACCAAGTTCCAAAGCTGCTTCCACATTTTCAGGTATCTTTATAACAATGGCCCACTTCTCTGATATCAATTTTTTGTATCAGTCATTCTCACACTGCTATAAAGACATACTTGGGAGTGGATGATTTATAAAGAAAAGAGGTTTGGCTGGGTGCAGTGGCTCACATCTGTAATCTCAGCACTTTGGGATGCCAAGGCAGGCGAATTGCTTGAAGTCAGGAGTTCGAGACCAGCCTGGCCAACATGACAAAACCCTATCTCTACTAAAAATGCAAAAATTAGCTGGGCATGGTGGTGCACACCTGTAATCCCAACTACCTGGGGGACTGAGGCAGGTGAATCGCTTGAACCCAGGAGACAGAGGTTGTGGTGAGTAGAGATCACACCACTGCACTCCAGCCTGCACAACAGAGACTCTGAAAATAAAGAGGAAGGGAGGGAGGGAGGGAGGAAAGGATGGAGGGAGGAAGGAAGGGAAAAAGAGGTTTAATCAGCTCACGGTTCTGCAGGATGTACAGACTTCTGCTTCTGGGGAGGCCTCGGGAAACCTACGATCATGGCAGAAGGTGAAGGGAAAGCAGGCACATCTTCATATGGCCAGCAGGAGACAGAGTGAAGGTGCTACACAATTTCAAACAACCAGATCTTGTGAGAACTCAGTCACTATCAAGAGAACAGCAAGGGGGAAGTCCACCTCCCTGGTCCAATCACCCCCACCAGGTCCCTCCCCAACATGGGGGGTTACAATTCAACATGAGATTTGGGTGAGGACACAGAGCCAAACCATATCATAGTTCTGCTCAGACTTTTTTTTTACTTCTCTGGGAGCCAGTTTCAATAGCTTGTGTCTTTCTATGAATCGGTCCGTGTCATCCAACTGATCGGATTTGTCAGCCTTCAGGTGTCCTCGTTCTGAGGCTGAGATGTGAAAGTAGAATGCTCAGGGCAGGGAAAGAAGGACACTGCTCAGGGCACAGGACACACGTGAGAACCGTTTCCTGAAGAGGGTCCAAGGGGAGGCTGAGAGACAGCCAAGAGGACTCCAGGGAGGCCTGGTCAGCAGCAGCCACGAGGGAAAACCCAAAGGGAGAGAGAGAGGATTAAAGACCTTCCTGAAGTTTTGCTGGGTAGCACAATCCCCGTGGAAGGGGCCTTTGAGGAAATACACAAAGAAGTCGAAATTACTGTTAAAGATTTCTGGTCGTACTCGGGAGTTGGCTCTGCTCAGAAGCTAGGCTTTGTGGGCAAAGCAGACCCAGAATAAAGGGCACTGCAGGCCAAGCTGCTCCCCCCAACCCCTCCCACTCCCTCGTCTGTTCACTTGTTCCTCTCCTCTCCCCACTCTCTGGCCTTTTTTACCCACCCGTGTGGCCCCATGCCTTGCGGCCCCTCCTCATCCCCAGGTTTCCACCCAGGTCAAGGACTCTGGGAACTGTTGGCTCCTGTTACCAAACCCCTTACCAGGACCGTTAGCAGCAGGTGCTAAGAGCGGATAGGGCAGAGTCTGCTGATGGTGGGGTCCTTCCTCTGCAGATGCGGAGGCTCGCCCGACCCAGGCAACCCCACACCACAGGCCTCAGAACCTTTCCCCACCTGCCAGAATGCCAAGGAGCCACGGCAACACACTCCTGCCCCAGTGACCACTCTGTCCTGTGGCCCTCAGCTCCCTTTGTTTTTTCGTTTATTTGAGATGGGGTTTCACCACATTGGCCAGGCTGGTCTCGAACTCCTGAGCTGGTGATCCTCCTGCCTCGGCCTCCCAAAGTGCTAGGATTACAGGTGTGAGCCACCACACCTGGCCCCTCAATTCCCTTTGACTGCAGGAAAAGAACATCTCAGGGGAAAGACCATGATCCATGCTAAGTGCTGGTGAGATGCGAAGTAAAATCGGAACCAAAGTGGGTTTAGGGATGGAGATGCTTTTGATGGCCCGGAAAACACAGCTGCAGAAGGGCAGCACAGCCGGGCGGAGGCCGTCACAGGCCACAGGACACGGCGGAGGGAGCAGGAGACCAGCAGGACATGCAGACACGTGCATCGCCGCTCCTCCCCCAGCCCTGCATTAGTGCCCTCACTGCCGCATTTTACAGAGGAGAGAATGGAGGCCCAGAGAAGCTGAGAACGCGTCCAAGGTGACAGTCTCGGGCAGTGGAGCCAGGTTTGACCCCAGGCAGCATGGCTCGGGAGACCGTGCTCTTCACCTGTGCATTTCCCATCGCAGATGAGCGGAGCCGTTGGGCAGAGCTTGTGTTCGATCATCCGTGCTGCAGAGAGAGAAAAGGGGATGCGGGTTTAGGAGCAGTGGAGTGTGGCTGGGAGGGCTGCGTCTGCCCCTGAGTGGGCGAGCCTGCGGGCTACAGTAGGTCTGAGTGAGAGGTAGCTGAGGCCACCTTGGGTCTTCAGGCTGGGCAGTGGCCAGGGGGCCCAGGGATGCCCATTGAGCTGGCAGCACCCAGACTCTCCCACAGCCGAGCTCTGAAGCACCTTCGTTTTTCTCCAGGCTGTGGCTTTGTCTTGCAGAATCCCAGCCTGTCAGGAGAGCTAAGTCAGGGCCAACAGGTCAAGGAGTTGAGACCCCCAAATGGACGGCCCCTGCCTCTGAGCCGGGTGCCCACGGCAGTCACTCCTCTCAGGCAGCCAGGCCAGGACACAGGGCCAAGGCCAGCCTCTCAGGCTGCTCACAGCTTGTTCCCAGGGCTCTCCCCCAGAGAGACGCCATCCCCTCCTCTACTGCTGGAAGCTGCCCATACTGTGGCCTGGAACAAGGGCCTTGTCCTTGCCCTGGGCCTGCCCAGGGGAAGGCTGCTTCCCCACACAGGGCTCTCGAGCTGTCTCTACCTGGGCCTGGTGCCTCCCAAGGTTCTGTGAGAACCAGCAAGATGTGTTCATGTTCATCAAAGGCCTTTGAAAAGCTCACGCGTGCGCGCGCACACACACACACACACACACAAACACACACACGCCAGGATGTGCGCTGGCGGCAGCCCCCTCCAGGCCACTCTCCCTCTCCCTCTGTGCCCAGCAGTCAGGTGAGACAGGAGGGGCCCCAGCAGGAGGTCGGGAAGCAAGGAAGGGTCCACTTGGCTGTGTCCCCAGGCTGCTGCTGCCAGGCTCCTCCTGGAACTTGGGGTGGGAGGTCCCTCCTGTCTGGGCAGAGGCTGGGCCGCCCTCCTCCCCAAGTCCCTGAGAAACCCGAATTCTCGAGCCCCAGGGCCAGGACCCCGCGTGCCCCTCAGGTGACTCAGACCCCCAGGGTACCTTCCACCTGTTCCCACTCTGAGCGGAAGCAGGTGGAAGGCGCCACGGAAACAGGTGAAAGCCACCTACTCGCAGCCATGCCCCGATGCCACACCCAAGGGTTCTTGGGGAACTAATGGAATACATGAGAAAATCAAAGTTCACCAAGCTGAGCCCTTAAAGGGCAATGCTGTGCGTGTGCCACAGTGCACAATGGCATCTCGTGCCAGCTGAGCTGGGGCGTGTGGGCCCGGGGAATGGACCAAGCTGCACAACCTCTAAGGCTTGGCTCCAGCTCAGCCTGTGAAAGCCTGTGAAGGAATCACCTCTCTGGTCCCCACCTCTGCCCCTGAGTGCTAGACCCAGGGAGGAAGACACCCCATGGACCATTCAGACGCCCCCTGCTCCAGGTGAGTGCTGACCCCGGGGTGGTCACTGGGAATATCTCTGAGGCCTCCACCTCACCCGCTGACTCCCTGGGGCTCTCCACCCTTGCCCACATCCTTCTGCTGCCCTCATCCTCAGGCTTAGAAGTCTAAGGACTGCATCCCCACAGAGGGCATTTGTGGAGTCTGTTCCTCACCAGAGGCTCAGGTTCAGGCCCTGGCCCCACCAAGGGCGGCCAGGGTGGGGACCCCAGGATCACCACCTGGGCCTGGCAGTGCCTGCTGCCGCGGAGGCCAGCTCTGCTCCAGGCTCAGGAAGAGAGAGGAAAGAAGAGAGCCTAGGGTTCCTTGGAAATACCTCCCTGGGGCCACTGGCCTGGCCTGGCCTGGGGTGTGGAAGGAAAGAAGCAGAAAGGGAGGTGCAGGGGAGAACAGTGCCCCCCCCCCCGAGCTCGGGTCAGCGGTGGCCAGTGCCCACTTCACCCCCAGACAGTGAAGAACACCAAGATGCCCCCACCCGGGCCCGGGGAGGGGAGGGCGAAATCTGGGGTCCTCCACTCCGGATCCACACGATGCTCGTCCGGGGCTCCCTGAGGCCCTGCCTGCGGTGGGCTCTCGGACGCCAGAGTCCCCTCAGGGTCGCCCACCCATGAACCCGCGCCCGCCCACCTCCAGCGCCGGGCTGCGCTTCGCCGTGGCCCGCGAGCTGCTCCAGGCCGCGCTGGAGGACCTGAGCCAGGAGCAGCTGAAGCGCTTCCGCCACAAGCTGCGCGACGCGGGCTCGGATGGACGCAGCATCCCGTGGGGGCGGCTGGAGCGCGCGGACGCGATGGACCTCGCGGAGCAGCTGGCCCAGTTCTACGGCCCGGAGCCCGCGCTGGAGGTGACCTGCAAGACGCTGAAGAGGGCGGACGCGCGCGACGTGGCTGCGCAGCTCCAGGAGCAACGGCTGCGGCGTGAGCGCGGGGCGGGAGGTCCCCCCGGGCTGGGCAGAGGCTGGGCCGCCCTCCCCCGCGCGGCCCCGGGGAACCCCGGCGCGCCCCCGGCCCGCGCGTTTGATCCGCAAATTCGCGGGCCCCCGGGCTAGGACCCCTTGTGCTCCTCGGGGTGACTGGGACCCCCGCGGCGCCTTCCGCCTGTTCCCGCCCTCGGCGGAGCCTCACCCCGTTTCCCTTGCAGGGCTCGGCCTCGGCCCCGCGGCGCAGCTCTCCGTGTCCGGTGGGTGTCTTTTGCTGGGGCCCGAGGCTGCGGCGCGAGCGTCCCAGCCCCGCTCGGAGGGTCCCGGGGACGACCCGGTGGGGAGGGCCGGCAGGGGCGCGGACTGTGGTCCCGCAGGGGAAACTGAGGCCTGGGCGGGGCCGGGGAGGGCGAGGGCTTCCGGAGCGCGGCCGTCGCAGCCCGCCCGGCCTGACCCCATCCCGCGCCGTGTCCCCTGCGCCCAGAGTACAAGAAGAAGTACCGGGAGCACGTTCTGCAGCGGCACGCGCGGGTGAAGGAGAGGAACGCCCGCTCCGTGAAGATCACCAAGCGCTTCACCAAGCTGCTCATCGCGCCCGAGAGCGCCGCCCCGTTGGAGGAGGCGCTGGGGCCCGCGGAGGAGCCGGAGCCGCAGCGCGCGCGGCGCTCGGACACCCACACGTTCAACCGCCTCTTCCGCGGCGACGAGGAGGGCCGGCGGCCGCTGACCGTGGTGCTGCAGGGCCCGGCGGGCATCGGCAAGACCATGGCGGCCAAGAAGATCCTGTACGACTGGGCGGCGGGCAAGCTCTACCAGGCCCAGGTGGACTTCGCCTTCTTCCTGCCCTGCGGCGAGCTGCTGGAGCGGCCGGGCGCGCGCAGCCTGGCCGACCTGATCCTGGACCAGTGCCCCGACCGCGGCGCGCCGGTGCAGCGGATGCTGGCGCAGCCGGAGCGGCTGCTCTTCATCCTGGACGGCGCTGACGAGCTGCCGGCGCTGGGGGGCCCCGAGGCCGCGCCCTGCACGGACCCCTTCGAAGCGGCGAGCGGCGCGCGGGTGCTGGGCGGGCTGCTGAACAAGGCGCTGCTGCCCTCGGCCCTCCTGCTGGTGACCACGCGGGCCGCCGACCCCGGGAGGCTGCAGGGCCGCCTGTGCTCCTCGCAGTGCGCGGAGGTTCGCGGCTTCTCCGACAAGGACAAGAAGAAGTATTTCTACAAGTTCTTCGGGAACGAAAGGAGGGCCGAGAGCGCCTACCGCTTCGTGAAGGAGAACGAGACGCTGTTCGCGCTGTGCTTCGTGCCCTTCGTGTGCTGGATCGTGTGCACCGTGCTGCACCAGCAGCTGGAGCTCGGCCGGGACCTGTCGCGCACGTCCAAGACCACCACGTCCGTGTACCTGCTTTTCGTCGCCAGCGTGCTGAGCTCGGCTCCCGCAGCCGACCGGCCCCGGGTGCAGGGCGACCTGCGCAAACTGTGCCGCCTGGCCCGCGAGGGCGTCCTCCAGCGCAGGGCGCAGTTTGCAGAGGAGGAACTGAAGCAACTGGAGCTTCGTGACTCCAAAGTCCAGACGCAGTTTTTTAGCAAGAAGGAGCGGCCGGGCGTGCTGGAGACGGAGGTCACCTACCAGTTCCTCGACCACAGCTTCCAGGAGTTCCTCGCCGCACTGTCTTACCTGCTGGAGGACGAGGGCGTGCCCGGGACCGCGGCCGGCGGCGTGGGGACACTCCTGCGTGGGGACGCCCAGCCGCATAGCCACTTGGTGCTCACCACGCGCTTCCTCTTCGGACTGCTGAGCGCGGAGCGGATGGGCGACATCCAGCGCCACTTCGGCTGCAGGGCCTCGGAGCGCGTGAAGCAGGAGGCCCTGCGGTGGGTGCAGGAACAGGGCTGCCCTGGAGCGGCACCAGAGGTGACCAAGGAGGCCAAAGGGTTTGAGGACACGGAGGAGCCAGAGGAGGAGGAGGAGGAAGGAGAGGAGGGAGAAGAGCCCAACTACTCGCTAGAGCTGCTGTACTGCCTGTACGAGACGCAGGAGGACGCGTTTGTGCGCCAGGCCCTGAGCCGGCTCCCCGAGCTGGCGCTGCAGCGAGTGCGCTTCAGCCGCATGGATGTGGCTGTTCTGAGCTACTGCGTGAGGTGCTGCCCCCCTGGACAGGCACTGCGGCTGATCAGCTGCAGACTGGTTGCTGCACAGGAGAAGAAGAAGAAGAGCCTGGGGAAGCGGCTGCAGGCCAGCCTGGGTGGCAGCAGGTGCGTCTCCGGGACAGAAATGCTCTCTTGTCTGGGAGGTGTGTGTGTGCGGTGCATAACCCGTGCACCTGTGTCCGTCTGGGAGGTGTGTGTGTGCGGTGCGTAATCCGTGCACCTGTGTCCGTCTGGGAGGTGTGTGTGTGGTGTGTAACCCGTGCACCTGTGTCCGTCTGGGAGGTGTGTGTGTGTGGTGTGTAACCCATGCACCTGTGTCTGTCTGGAAGGTGTGTGTGTGCAGTGCATAACCCGTGCACCTGTGTCCGTCTGGAAGGTGTGTGTGCGCGGTGTATAACCTGTGCGCCTGTGTCCATCTGGGAGATGTGTGTGTGTGGTGTATAACCTGTGCACCTGTGTCCATCTGGGAGATGTGTGTGTGTGGTGCATAACGCATGCACCTGTGTCCGTCTGGGAGGTGTGTGTGTTCGGTGCATAACGCGTGCACCTGTGTCCGTCTGGGAGGTGTGTGTGTGTGTGGTGCATAACTCGTGCACCTGTGTCCGTCTGGGAGGTGTGTGTGTTCGGTGCATAACGCGTGCACCTGTGTCCGTCTGGGAGGTGTGTGTGTTCGGTGCATAACGCGTGCACCTGTGTCCGTCTGGGAGGTGTGTGTGTTCGGTGCATAACGCGTGCACCTGTGTCCGTCTGGGAGGTGTGTGTGTTCGGTGCATAACCCGTGCACCTGTGTCCGTCTGGGAGGTGTGTGTGTGTGTGCAGTGCATAACCCGTGCACTTGTGTCCCTCTGGCATGGGGAGCATGTCCAGACCAGACCCTGGCTCCCCAGATGGGGACGTTTGACCACCCCCTTGTAAGGCAACCACTGAGTGCCTCTCTTCTTCCCCAGGGTGTTCTCACCATGTCCACCCTCAGCCGTCCACAGCCTATGGAAACTTCCTAGTATGGCCCTGCAGCTCTGGCCCAGCCCTTCTTCCCATTATACTTTCTGACAATGAGTTCTGGAACAAACGATGCCCTCTGTGCCCTGAGCCTCTGCCTTGCCATTCCCTCCACCTAGAATAGTGTTTGCTGCCTGTCCTACAAGTCTGCCTTGGCTCCCCCAGCTGGCTGGGGACCCAACTGGCTCCAGAAGTGCCCTGTTGACCACCCTGCCACGACGTCTGCCCCAGGTCTCCACCAGACCCTCAGCTCCTCCAGGGCAAGGCTTTTGCCAGAGTTCCTTTGAATTTAGCTCCAATTCAGCTCCTACCTAGGGGCCTGGCATCTGTTGAGAGAATGAATGTCACGATGTTGGCAGGGACTGACTGGGCCTGGGGACCCAAACACCCATGTGGGGGATGTGGGTGACACCCTCCCACTGGCCTCACTTAAATACCCCAGTGGGATGGCACGAGGGCCACAGATGAGTGGTTTCACTCTGGGATTGGTGGGGGGAGGAAGAAGGGGGTTGCTCAGCTTGGAAGTGAGGAGGAGGGGCCGCTCTGAGACTGCAGGACTGGAGATAGGGAGGGGTCCTTTCTGGGAGGCCATGGGGCAGGGTGGGCTTCACCTTCCTCTCTCCCCCAGCAGTTCCCGAGCCACGGCAAAACAACTGCCAGCCTCCCTTCTCCATCCACTGTTTCAGGCCATGACTGACCCCCTGTGCCGTCTGAGCAGCCTCACGTGAGTGGCCATGCCCCAGCCCTTCCCATGGAGGGGCTGAGAGCAGGATGCCCTGGGCAGAGACAGAAGTGTGGCCTAGGAAAGAAGGCGGAGGGGTCAGGCCAGAGCCGGAGGCCTCTGGTGCTGGTGCTGGGGCCGGCGGGCTTTCCCCACGCAGAGCGGAGGGAGGAGGGGACGGGGTCTGGGGCATCATTACCAGGTTACCTGTCGGGAAAGGCTGGACCCTGTGTGAGTGGAAAGCAGCTAAGCGTACTGAGGGAGGAATTAAAGAAGGCAAGAGTGTATTTTCCTTCCGAAGGAAGCTGCCACTGGAAACGACTGGGTTCTTAGAAACAGTGGAGCAAGGTGTTAGGGCTCAGGCTTCAGGGTCAGGCTGTCTGCAAATCCTAGCCTGCTTCTGTGTGCCCAGTGGCAAGTCCGTCTGTCTAAGCTTCCGTCTCCTCCCCTGTGAAGGGGGGTCAGTAGATCCACAGAGCTGGGGTGAGACACTATGGCTACACACGTCCAGTTCTTACACGGCAGTAACTTTCCAGTTACTCTCAACTGCCACCAGGTGAGCAGAAAGGACGAGAAAATCAGGACCTAGTCCTGACGGAGCCTGGTAAAATCGGGACCTCAGACGTTCACCGAGACTCAGCAAAGGAGCTTGTGGGGGGGTGGGGGGCATGGCAACCTCGAGATAAACGTGAGAGCTAAAAAGGTGACCTCATTTGGCCCGGCAATTCTGCTGGTAAACTGAGATGCTCAGCACACCATTATTTATAATGGTGAAAAAAAGTAGAAACAGCACAACTACCCAACCACTAGGGACTGGCTAAGTCACTGAGTTGGCGCAGCCCAACCTGGCGGACGATTGCGTGGCAGATCTGTTGAAACGTGTCTGTTGCAGCTCACGGAAGAGCTCGTGCAGAGTGTCGTAGGGGCCGGGCGCGGTGGCTCACGCCTGTAATCCCAGCACTTTGGGAGGCTGAGGTGGGCGGATCACAAGGTCAGGAGTTCAAGACCAGCCTGTGTCGTGGACCCTCCGGGACGGGTAGGCACGTCTGCCCGGGGGTCTCTCGACCTGCAAGAGGGTCCCAATACCTGGAAAAGGGAGTGCGCCTGGGAAAATAATAAAGACAGAGAGAGAGAAAGCGAGGCATCTGGAGGGCTGATAGGCTGTGCCTAAACAGCAAATTTTATTTTTCAAAGGCCAGGAATAAATACACTTTCTTGGCTCTGGTTTACGTCATAGTAAGAGGAAATGCAAATGTATGCCTCACAAGGCCTATACAATAGAGAAATCAGATACACAATGGTTGCAAGAGGAAATGCAAATGTATACCTTACAGGGCCTATACAATTGAAAAGTCAGATACACAATCAGTGGTTGTAAAAGGTAACAATTTCCTGTGATCACAAAGCTTGTTTACATCCAGACATTATTCTTCCTGGCTGCAGGTATCTCTGGTTTGATCTTGTTTTAGAACTGAGATGTGAAAAGGTTTTCTGGTTTTGCTTATCAGAATATCTTTTAACCGGATTCTCCTTTGTCTACTCCTAACTCAACTTAACTCAATTTCCCCATTCAGGAATCTCTGAGTCAGGAATCAAAGCCATCCCTTATGGTGGCATTTTGCTTTGCAAATATCGACAGTTAAACCATTATCTAGGGTACAAGGCAGTCTGGTAAGTAAGGTTTAAGGATTATTCTTAAAGTCATAAAAAGGTTAAAAGCAGGAACCGGTTGCCGGCAGGGGGTCACTCAGTCTAGCAGCAACGCATAGTTTTAGGTCCAAACGATATTGTGGTTGATATTAGAAACTGATCATTCATCTTTCAGCTTCCTATATTTCTGGATAGCTCGACTGCCTCCAGTAGGAAACTGTGTTTGGGATCAAACTCACCGTATAGTGAGACTCACGCCTTTTAGGGGTCTCACACGGGAATGTTCCCCACAAGCCTGTCCAAGCCGGTGAAACCCGCGTCTCTACTAAAAATACAAACATTAGACGGGCGTGGTGGTGGGTCCCTGTAATCCCAGCTACTTTGGAGGCTGAGGCACGAGAACTGCTTGAACCCAGGAGGTGAAGGTTTCAGTGAGCCGAGATCACGCCACTGTGCTCCTGCCTGGGTGACTGCGTGAGACTCCATCTCAAAAAAAAAAAGAGAGTGTCACAGGGAGAAGTGGACTCAGCTCTCCAAGGGTGCATGGTTACAAAGGGCAGGGCAGGCTCCGCTGCATCCAGGGAGGGGCGTGGTGCCCAGGCACCTCTCAGCTGAACCTTGGGCAGTTTGTGCAGTTGGAGGTGGAGTGGCGGCTGAGGCGCCTACAGGTAAATCTACCTGCTTCTTGACCACAGGCTGTCCCACTGCAAACTCCCTGACGCAGTCTGCCGAGACCTCTCCGAGGCCCTGAGGGCAGCCCCCACGCTGACGGAGCTGAGCCTCCTCCACAGCCGGCTCAGTGAGGCCGGCCTGCGTATGCTGAGTGAGGGCCTAGCCTGGCCCCAGTGCCAGGTGCAGACGTTCAGGTGAGGCCTGGCCTGGGAGGGCCGAGGGATACCCCCACCACCCTGCAGCACCTGAGGTCTGCCCTCCCACAGGGTGCAGCTGTCTGGTCCGCAGCGAGGGCTGCAGTACCTGGTGCCTATGCTTCGAGAGAGCCCGGCCCTGACCACCCTGGATCTCAGTGGTTGCCAGCTGCCCGCCCCCATGGTGACCTACCTGTGTGCAGTCCTGCAGCACCCGGGATGCAGCCTGCAGACCCTCAGGTGGAGGCAGGGATGGGAAGGGTGCTGGGGACACAGCCTGTCAACCCAGGGTGGGGGCGGGTGCCTGGAGGCTTTGCCTGGACCCAGAAGAGGGGCTCCCAGGGCCTCCCAAGTGACGGAGCTCAAACACCAGCCTGGGAACCCAGCCCTGACTCCCCGCCCTCTGGAGCCCGGGCCGCAGCGCCGGGCCTCAACCGCTTTGCATGACCACATGTTCGTCCGTTCATCTGGCCCACAGCCTGGGCCAGTGACCCCAGTATCCTTTTGCCACCCCTAAGGCCCTGCCTCTGCCCCTCCCCCAGCCTCTGACAAACCTCCCAATCAACCATGGCCTGTCACTGAGTGCCTGTGGCACAGCCTAAGCCGACAGCCATGCCACTGCCTGCAGCCCACCTGCCCGCACAGCAAGCACTGACCCCCCCGCTGACCCCACCGCTGACCCCGCTTCTGCTCTGTGTGTGTGGCTGCAGCCTGGCCTCTGTGGAGCTGAGCGAGCAGTCACTACAGGAGCTTCGGGCTGTGAAGAGAGCAAAGCCCGATCTGGTCATCGCACACCCAGCCCTGGACGGCCACCCAGAACCTCCCGAGGATCTCAGCTCAATCTTCTGAGGCCCAGGTGGCCAGAGCAGGGCAGAAGACCCTAGTCTGAGCCCCTGTGGAGAGAACTGCAGGACCCTGCTCTCGCCTCTGGGAAACGTTCGAGCCCAGAGGCCCTGGACAGGCATGTGGGAGGCCCAGACACGGCACCCTGTCCCGTCCAGGACCGGCCCGGCACCTGCCCTCGTCTCCACACTCTGGGGGACCCCTCCTCCCCAGCCCCACGACTACTCCACCCACCTTCCTCTCCTGGGACCCTCCAGCCCTTCCCCTTGAAGACCCCCACCCCCACCAAGCCACAGTAAGGACCCTGAGAACTCCAGTTAATTAAGCACCTACCAGAGCTGGCGGAATGACCCTTCACTGCCTGAGCCCTGCCTGGCAGAATGGCGCAGCAGCCTCCAGAACTGTGCCACTGTAGACTGAGGGTAGGCAGGTCATCGTCCCTCTCTGTTAAGAATGAGACCATGCCGGGCGTGGTGGCTCAAGCCTGTAATCCCAGCACTTTGGGAGGCCGAGGCGGGTGGATCACAAGGTCGAGAGATCGAGACCATCCCGGTCAACATAGTGAAACCCCGTCTCTACTAAAAATACAAAAAATTAGCTGGGCATGGTGGCACATGCCTGTAATCTCAGTTACTCAGGAGGCCGAGGCAGGAGAATTGCCTGAACCCAGGAGGCGGAGGTTGCGGTGAGCCAAGATCGCGCCATTGCACTCCAGCCTGGGTAACAAGGGCGAAACTCCGTCTCAAAAAAAAAAAAAAAAGAATGAGACCATTGGCCGGGCGAGGTGGCTCACACCTGTAATCCCAGCACTTTGGGAGGCCGAGGTGGGTGGATCACCTGAGGTCAGGAGTTCAAGACCAGTCTGGCCATCATGGGGAAACCCCATCTTTAAAAAAATAAATAAATAAGTCCGGGCGCGGTGGCTCAAGCCTGTAATCCCAGCACTTTGGGAGGCCGAGGCGAGTGGATCACAAGGTCAAGAGATCGAGACCACCCTGGTCAACATGGTGAAACCCCATCTCTACTAAAAATACAAAAAATTAGCTGGGCATGGTGGCGCGTGCCTGTAATCCCAGCTACTCAGGAGGCTGAGGCAGGAGAATTGCCTGAACCCGGGAGGCGGAGGCGGAGGTTGCGGTGAGCCGAGATCGCGCCATTGCACTCCAGCCCGGGTAACAAGAGCGAAAGTCCATCTCAAATAAATAAATAAATAAATAAATAAATAAAAAGAATGAGACCATCCCTGAGGCTGTGGCCTAGGCCCAGAGGTGTCCAGTGTCTGAGGACTTTGGGACGGGAGGCCAGGACAGAGACAGAGCAGAAGCCGGGTGCTGGGTGGGAGGTGTGAGCACACAGTGGGGAGCAGCCCCCACGCCCTGGTGATACATTCTCCTGTGGATTCACTACCGTTGGCTTCTGTTGCATCTGGCCAGGCCCGGTGCCAGTAGGTGCTCACAATCTTTCCAGCATCCCATTTTCACAAGGCAGGATGATGGCCCCGCCCCCTGACGCCCCCATCTCCAGTGAGGAAAGAGAGTCTCAGGGGCTCCCTGACTGCAGAAACCGCTGTGACAAGGCTTGGCCTTGATGGACAGGGCCAGCAGTGGACAGTCCTCGGGTCCTGGAGTCTTCTCTCCTCAACCCTGCTGGGCCGCTGAGACCCCAGTGTGTGTGCGCGTGGGGCGTGAGGGAGACTCTGGATTCAGCCCCATCACTTCCCGGCGGAAATCCCCCTCTAAAATCCACTTTCTAAATCCATTCCTTCATTTCACAGAACACAAAAATCCCCGTCCTCCTAGAGCTGACATTCTAGGTAGGAATACAAACACCTACATGATACGTAGTGTAATACAGTAAATACGTATATGACACATGCACAACACACATGCACGTGACACAGTGCAACAGCACAGCTAATACGCTATACACACACGACTGCCAGGTGTGGCAGCCCGTGCCTGTGGTCCCAGATACTCGAGAGGCTGAGGCAGGAGCTCGAGGCTGGAGCCCAGGAGTTCTGGGACGCCGTGAGCTCTCAGGTTGGCTGGAAATAAGCAAAAGCCGCAATTACTTTTGCCCCAACCTAATATGATTGAGCCAGTGCACTGCAGCCCGGGCCACAGAGACCCCCAGCTCTAGCAAATAAAGTGTTTATGATACACAAATGCACAACACAGTCAATGGGCCCATGCTGCATAAATGTGCAACACAATTTTTTTTTTTTTTTTGAGACAGTTTCGCTCTTATTACCCAGGCTGGAGTGCAATGGCCCGATCTCGGCTCACCACGACCTCCGCCTCCTGGGCTCAGGCAATTCTCCTGTCTCAGCCTCCTGAGTAGCTGGGATTACAGGCACGCGCCACCATGTCCAGATAATTTTTTGTATTTTTAGTAGAGACGGGGTTTCACCATGTTGACCAGGATGGTCTCGATCTCTTGACCTCGTGATCCACCCGCCTCGGCCTCCCAAAGTGCTGGGATTACAGGCTTGAACCACCGCGCCGGGCCAACACAATTTAACAGAGATGCAAACGTAGGGCTGATAAATGCTGCCAAGGAGAGGAAAGCAGAGGTGGGCTGGTGGGCAGGGAGCCCAGGGCTTCCTGCTGCATGAAAGGGGTCTGGGGAAGTCTCATCGAGGACTGGCCACGTGAAAACCCGAAGGACTAAGGGGGCGGCCCCAGAGAGGTCTTGAGAAAAAGCGCTCCCGACAATGACGCTGCCAGAGCGAGCCAGGAAGGGGAGCGTGCTTGGAAATTTCTAGAAGCAGCAAGAAAGCCAGGTAGCCACAGGGGAGTCAGGGAGGGGAGGAGGTCAGGGAGCCAAGGCAGGTGCAGGAGGGGTTTGTGGGTGGAGCTCATCTTCGGTGAGTTGGGCGCCATGACAGCCTTCTGGGCAGAGTGCAGGGTCTGCCCTAAATGTTGGGGGTTGGGGGTGTCTGTTAACAACAAAAGCAGAAGCAGGGAGTGACAGCGCCTCCAGGAGGAGGTGTGGGCGGCTTCGACGGTGTCCCGGAGGTGCCGCCACAGCACCTGCCCCTGGGTTGGATGGGGTGCGGGCGACAGACAGGCAGAGCTAAAGCAGGGCCCTCAGCCCGGGCAGCAGGACCGGCCGTGTCACCTCACCTGTGCGGGGCCGGCTGTCACCTCACCTGTGCGGGGCCGGCTGTCACCTCACCTGTGCGGGGCCGGCTGTCACCTCACCTGTGCGGGGCCGGCTGTCACCTCACCTGCGCGGGCGGGTTGTCACCTCACCTGTGCGGGGCCGGCTGTCACCTCACCTGTGCGGGGCCGGTTGTCACCTCACCTGTGCCGGGCCGGTTGTCACCTCACCTGCCCGGGGCTGGTTGTCACCTCACCTCACCTGCCCGGGGCCGGTTGTCACCTCACCTGCCCGGGGCCGGTTGTCACCTCACCTGCGCGGGGCGGGCTGTGGGAGCAGCCGGGTTCCGCGCACCTGCCGGCGCCGAGCGGCCAGGCGGGGACACCTGCGCTGGGTCGGGGCCCACGACACCGGGACGGCGGCCCAGGCCCGAGCCCAGCAGCGTCCGCCGCGGCGCCGAGGTGGGACCCGCACGGGGCGGTGTCAGGAGGAGGAAAAACCCGACGACGCCAGGACGGGCCCGAGGCGCCGCGGAAAACCCGAAACGAGGGGCCGCGGCCGACCCCGTCGGAGCTGCGGGTCCGCGGCCCTTCCCGGCAAAGCCAAGCGAGGGAGAAACGGGCGGGAACTGGGGGCCGGGGTGCCCCCGGGAGCCCCGAAGAGCGCCCCGCCCGCCCGGAAACGCCGCCGCTTTCAGCCTCGCTCCGGCGCCGCCCTGGGGTCTCACCGGCGCGGGGGACGGAGGAGCCGGGAGGGAGCCCCAGGCCCGCGGGACCCCCCGGCGACCCCCGAACACGGCTTGGGGGCCACGAACGCCGGGCCCGGGACGCGACCCCAGGCCCTGCCGGCGGGGACCGAGCGGAGACGGCCTGCGGCCGAGTCCACGTCCCGCCCCGCGGCCCAGCGCCCGCCCTCGGGGGCGGGGACCGCGGACCTTCCTGGTGGCGCCGCGGCCGGGCGGCTCCTCCCTCGTCCCGGCCCCGCGCGGAGCGGACGGACGCGGTTCCCACGCTGGCGCCTGGCGACCGGGTGCGGTGCGGTGAGTCCCCGAGGCGCCGGCCCGTCCCCCTCCCCGCGCCGCTCCAGCCTTCCCCTCGCTGCCCGCCCAGCCCCCACCCCACCCAGAGAATCCAGAGGCCCCACCGTCCCTCCCCCACCCCCGCCTGCCCCAGCGGCCCACTACGCCGACACCCCCAGCTGCCCAGCGCCCCGTGCCCTCAGCGCCCCTGGCAGCCCCAGGCTCCCTCCCGGACCTGCCGCCCTGGTGCTCCCCCCGCCCCCCCACACCCCTCCCCCACACAGACCCCCCATCTCCCACACCCCCCACACACACACCCACAGCCCCTCCCCACACACACACCCCTCTCCTTCCCCCACACATCCCCCACCTCCCACCCCCCCACACACACACCTCTCCCCACACACACCCCCACGCCTCCCACACCCCCTCTCTCACACACACCCACACACACTCCCCCCACACACACCCCACCCCACAACACACCCACACCCCGCCCCCCCACACACCCCCGCACACACCCCCAGCACCCCCCTCCCCCCGACAACCCCCCACCTTCCACACACCCACACACACACACCTCTCCCCCCTCCGACACACCCCCCGCCCCCCGTCCCACCCCCCTACACACACCCGAGGCCTCCTTTCCCGCCACTGCCACTTCCCTCCGGCCTGGCGGGCGGACTACAGAAGGTGGGGGCCAGGCGGGGGTTCCGGCGGTTGCGTTTGGACTTCTGAGGTGCCCCACAGCACAGACAAGCTTAGGGACCCCGCTGGTTCCTGGCGATCAGCTTTCCTGGTCTGAGCATCTCACAGCTGAGCTCCTTTCCTGGGTGCTTTCCTCCTAGGAGGGGCCTCAGGAAAACCGGGGCCGCCCAGCTGGCTCCGCAACTGCCCCCAGTTCTGAGGGAGGCTTCACAGGGTCACCAACGGCCTCAAAGGGAGGCCCAGCCAGTCCCCGGCCCCGCGGCGTTTCCATGGAGGACCCCACCACGTTTGCTGCGCACTGGCTGCCCAGTGACCCCCGCCTCTTGGCCACGGTGACCAACGCATTCCTGGGTACACGCGTGTTTCACCACGCGCTGCATGTGAGCGGCGTGTACAGCGGTGCCGGTGGGGACACGCACCGGGCAGTGCTGCCCAGCCCCCTCAACGTCCGGCTGGAGGCCCCTGCAGGAATGGGGGCGCCACTGACCGAGACCTTCGCCCTGGACACCAACACAGGTACCCACACCCGGCTGGCCCCACCCCTGCCCCAGGCATCATTCCAGGTGGGAGAGGGACCACAGCCGAAAATCCCCCCGGCGCCTCCTGAGTGTCCAGGGGAGTCTCACTGAGACAGGAGGCCGCAGAGGCCCTCAGGGTCCCCCGCCCTCTGCCCGGAGGCCGCCTGGAGGGGCAGCAGCCCGAGGCCCCTGGGGCAGCTGTAGCTTCCCAGAACGAGCAGCGGAGCATAGGGATGGATCTGCCCCGTCGTGGGGAGAGGCGGCCCGGGATCCACTCTGGGCCCAGGAGGCCGCAGCTTGGCAACCCCCTCGAGTGGTCCTGTCTTCCGTCTGCCTCCCCAGGCTCCTTTCTTCACACCCTGGAGGGCCCCCACTTCCGGGCCTCCCAGTGCATCTACGCACACCGCACGCTGCCCCACGTCCTGGCTTTCCGTGTGTCCATCGCCCGCCTGGCTGCGGGGAGCGGGCCCATCACGCTGCTGCTGCGGTCAGCCTTCTCCCCGGAAAGCCCAGACCTGGAGCTGCACCCGGGTCCTGACTTCCAGGGAGCCCGGTAAGGAGGGGGCTGGGTCTGCAGCCAGGGAGCCCACGGAGGGAGCTCATCCTTGAGGCCCGGCCGCACTCTCGCAGGTACCTGTACGGCCACACGCTCACCCCGGAGCAGCCCGGGGGGCCGCAGCAGGAGGTGCACATGCTGTGGACACCCGCGCCCCCAGACCTGACCCTTGGGGAAGGTGAGGAGGAGGAGACCTGGGACTTCCTGACCGTCGTGGGTGGCAGCCAGGCCGAGGTCCAGGCCTGCCTCAAGGAGGCTCTGCGGCTGCAGGCCGAGGGAGCCCTGTACTCGGCCCACGCGCTGGCCTGGGCCCAGCTCTGGGCAGAATGTGGCTTGGACGTGGCGGGGCCCCTGCCCCTGCGCCAGGCCCTGCGTGGCTCCCTCTACTACCTGCTCAGCGCCCTGCCCCAGCCCAAGGCCCCAGGATACATCTGCCATGGCCTCAGTCCTGGGGGCCTCTCCAACGGGAGCCGTGAGGAATGCTACTGGGGCCACGTCTTCTGGGACCAGGTGAGCGTTGTCCACCCAGCACCGGGCACACAGCGGCGACGCACAGAGGTCCTCTGCCTCTGCCCTGCCCTCCCTGGGATCAGGGCTGTGGTTGGGAAGCACAGGGACTGTGGCGAAAGGGAAGAGGCCTGGAGAAGGTGGTGTCTCAGCAGGTGTGTGTGTGGAGTTTGATGGAGGAGTGATCTTGGTGAGGGGACCAGAGCTGATAGGGCCTGAGGCCCCCACCAGGACCAGAGGAGGGTCCCCCACCAGGGCGGGGAGGGCTGCAGGCCCAGGTCTCCAGGGTTTGCAGACAGCGGTGTGACACTTGGAGTTTACCTGAGGGCCAGCGGAGCCGCAGAGGCTTTGGTCAGGAGGGGACCTGTGGGCACTGGGAAGACCTTTGGGGCGACCGCGTGGAGCCTGGAGCTGGAGGCCGAGGAGGGTGATGGGGACACCGAGGGTCCAAGGGAGGGCATGGTGGCTGCTGGGCCTGGAGGTGTGGACGGTGAGTGGCTGCTGGGCGTGGAGGTGTGGATGGTGAGTGACTGCTGGGCACAGAGGTGTGGACGGTGAGTGGCTGCTGGGCGGTTGCTGGGCGTGAAGGTGTGGACGGTGAGTGGCTGCTGGGCACAGAGGTGTGGACGGTGAGTGGCTGCTGGGCGTGGAGGTGTGGATGGTGAGTGACTGCTGGGCACAGAGGTGTGGACGGTGAGTGGCTGCTGGGCACGGAGGTGTGGACGGTGAGTGGCTGCTGGGCGTGGAGGTGTGGACTGTGAGAGCTGGGGCTGCTCCATCATCGTCTGAGCCTCCCTGTGCTGGGGCTGTGGCCGTTTGCCCTGATGGGGCTCCCAGAGGCCAAGTCATTCGCTGCAGGTCAGTCGGCCTGAGGCTGCCCGTGTCCACCTTCGGCCGGAGCCTCTGTGGGCACACGAACACCAGCTGGGGAGGCAAAGTGCGGGGCCGAGGACCAGGGCCACGGGAGCATCTGGGCTGCAAACAGAACCGGGTGGGCAGGTGGGGAGGAACCCAGAAGGCGCCAGCAGCAGAGCGGTTCTGGGGGGAACGTGGCCAGGCGGGAGGGAGACGTGAGAGCCTGTCCAGCGCTCGAACAAGGGACCGTGCTCGCAGGACCTCTGGATGTTCCCGAATATCCTGATGTTCCACCCAGAGGCTGCCAGGGCCATCCTGGAGTACCGCGTGCGAACGCTGGGCGGGGCCCTGGAGAATGCCCAGAACCTGGGCTACCAGGTGAGGGGACCCGGGCCCTGGCCTGCAGAGCCCTGCAGCCCCCACGGCCCTCCCAGCCTGTATGCGTCTCCCCAGGCCCCACTCTGGGCACTGGCAGGGCCTGCAGCCCCCCACCAACCCCTCCCCGGACCTGTATTCCTCTCCCCGGGCCCCTCTCTGGACACAGCTAAGATGTCCTGGATTCTCCACCCTGAAGCTTGAGGGGCCTCAGCAGGGCTGGGACCCCGCTCTGGCCCAGGACCCCTTGGGGTGCCCTTGTGCCCTGCCCCAGGTCAGTGCATGGTGAAAACTGGGCAGAAGCCGCCTGGCCCACAGCAAGGACTTGCAGTGGGCACTCCCAGCGGTGGTGCCCACCAGGGGACCTGGAGCAGGCGGTGCCCCCTCTTCCAGGGCGGGGGCATGGGAAAGTTGGTGGGCCACCTCTCCCCTCCAACAAGGTCAAGTCTGCCCATCTCCACCCCTCAGGGAGCCAAGTTTGCCTGGGAGAGTGCAGTTTCTGGCCTGGAGGTCTGCCCCGAGGACATTTACGGGGCCCAGGAGGTCCACGTCAATGGGGCCGTGGTGCTGGCCTTCGAGCTGTACTACCATGCCACCCAGGTGAGGTGTGGTGTGTCCACCATTCTGCAAGCGTGGCCAGGCAGCTGGTGTAGCCACGCCCACTCTGCGTGGCTTCCTGTTTGGGCCAGTCCTGGGAAGCTGGCCGAGGATGGGTGTCTCAGTGCCAGGCCTTGCTTCTGGGCACAGACAGGCCACTGGGAACAACAGTGACCGGGGCTCTGGCCTCTGTCCCGCCTCCTGCCCCCCAGGACCTGCAGCTCTTTCGAGAGGCTGGTGGCTGGGACGTGGTCAGTGCCGTGGCGGAGTTCTGGTGCAGCCGTGTGGAGTGGAGCCCCAGGGAGGAGCAGTACCACCTGAGGGGTGAGGGCCATGGTGGGGAGGAAGGGATTTCCTGGCTTCAGCAGGTGATTTTCAGGCGCCTCACACGTGCAGGCCCCACGCTGACCGCTGCGTGGAGGGAAGGTCTCTGAGACTCTGCACTGAGCACCATCTTGGACTTGTGTGTCCAGGAGTCATGTCCCCCGACGAGTACCATTCAGGGGTCAGCAACTCCGTGTACACCAACGTCCTGGTCCAGAACAGGTCAGACACAAGACCCCTCACCTCACCCCCACCCCAGCTGGAGACCTGCCCCAGTGCCCCCACTTGGCAGGCAGCAGCTGGAAGCCCAGGGTCACAGCCTCCCTCACCCACCTCCACCCCCAGCCTTCGCTTTGCTGCCGCCCTGGCCCGGGACCTGGGGCTGCCCGTCCCCCGCCAGTGGCTGGCCGTGGCTGACAACATCAAGGTGCCCTTTGATGTGGAGCGGAACTTCCACCCGGAGTTCGATGGATATGAGCCTGGTGAGTGTGGGTGGACCCCTCCGAGGCCTCCTTCGCCCCTGCCGTGGAGCCCTCGAGTGTGTCCTGGAGCGCCTGCCCACCCCGAAACCCGCACCTGCCTGCCATCAGCAGCACCTCCCTGCAGGAGAGACGGTGAAGCAGGCGGATGTTGTGCTCCTGGGATACCCCGTCCCCTTCTCCCTGATTCCTGAGGTTCGAAGGAAAAACCTGGAGATTTACGAGGCTGCGACATCCCGCCAGGGCCCCGCCATGACCTGGGTGAGCAGCCTGGGGGTGGGGAGCTCCTGCCTCGGTGGCCTCAGTCTCTGCCATCAAAGTCGGCCTCACCCCTGCGCGTCCTCTTACCTCTGACCCCAGAGCATGTTTGCCGTGGGCTGGATGGAGCTGAAGGAGACGGCGCGGGCCCGGGACCTCCTGGACAGGAGCTTTGCCAACATGGCTGAGCCCTTCAAGGTCAGCCTAGCCACGCCTGCCTCCCACTGGGCCCCTCAGGGTGGGAGTGGAGCCGGGCCCCAGGGCGGGCACAGCAGGGTGCACCCCTGGAGCTTCCAGCCGGACCTCGGACAGCAGCCCAGAGAGGACGGTGTCCTGGGGGTCCTGGTGTCAGCTGCCTTTGCCCCTGCAGGTGTGGACGGAGAACTCGGACGGGTCAGGCGCTGTGAACTTCCTGACGGGCATGGGGGGCTTCCTGCAGGCAGTGCTCTTCGGGTGCACGGGGTTCAGGCAAGTGCAGAGGCTGGCAGAGGGCAGCCCATACCCCCACCTGCCGCCTCACAGACCTCTCCTCCCACAGGCTCACCCGGTCGGGTGTGACCTTCGACCCTGTGTGCCCATCGGGCATCTCCAGAGTGAGCGTCTCCGGTATCTTCTACCAGGGGAACAAGCTCAACTTCTCTTTCTCTGAGGACTCCGTGACCGTGGAGGTCACGGCCCGAGCGGCGCCCTGGGCTCCTCCTCTGGAGGCTGAGCTGTGGCCGTCCCAGGCCCGGCTCGCCCTGCCGCCAGGTAGAAGACCACACCAGCCCCCAAGAGCCCAGGCGCCTGTGGCCATAGGCCGTCCCCCAGGCTGTCGCCTCACCCCCAGGCTGCCTCCCTGTCCCTGCAGGACGCAAGGCCTCCTTTCCCCGCTCAGCTGGCCGGATACAAAGGTCACCCCCGAAGCTGCCTGGAAGCTCCTGCTCCGAATTTCCTGGGAGGACTTTTTGAAGATATTAGGTACCTGCTCCAGAGCCCAAAGGGCCCCTCTGGGTCACCCTTGGTCCCTCCTGCCCCACTGAGTCACTCACCCTGGAACCTGCCCTTGAATAATCAGGAGCGTCGGCTTTAGAAATGTCTCCTGGGCTTTCCCTGTGGCCACTCCTGCACCCACCCCTCCTGGACACCCTCATAGCCTGCCAGCCAGGTGCTCAGGGAGAGTCCACGCTGCTTGGCCTGAAGTTCAAGGCTTTTTTACTCTACCCTGAACCCCTCCCCAGCCTAGACACCCGTGGGCTTCCCCATGGCATCCCCATGCCGCATCTGCCTGCCCTGTGGACGGATGCCATCACCCGCCATCCCAGGGCACTGCCCCAAGCTCCCGAAGGCAGGGTCTGAGCCTGTACCACCTCTGGCCTCTCATCCCCTTCTCCCTGAGTGCCTTGGTCACCGCGACCCACAGCTCTCTCTGCTGAGAGGGCAGAGAGGCAGCTGCAGAGCTGAGCGTGGGCAGCAGGGATACGGGGTGTCAAGGAAGGGGCTCGGCCACCTTCAGAATTCCCCAGGACTCTCAGGCGCAGCTTTGCCAAAAGGAACTTTTCACGTCACGCAGTTGAGGGTCCAGCATGTTGGGGGATTTAATCTCAATCCCGGGCTCCTCTCGACTCTGGGCGCCTTAATCCAGCTGGGTGGCCTCTCCCATTGTGGGGTGTGACAGCTCTTTCCCCAACCACGCAGCTTGTGGGGAGAGAGGTGGGAAGTGGGAAGTCACCAGAGAACGGGACAGAGGGACCTGAGGGTGAGACCCCAGCGCTCTCCACTGACCAGCCAGAGGGACTGGAGCCGGATGTGCATGGGTTCGAGGCCCTGCCCAGCCTCAGCCCCAGGATTGGGGCGTCAGTTTCCCAAGAACAAGACGCGATGGCGTGTCCTGCTGAAACCCCGATGAGGGCCGGGACCCCTGCACCACCACGTCAGCCTGAGGAATTAAAGCTTTGGTGCCGGGAGGAGCGTCGCTGCTCTGAGGAGCTGCTGTGCTTCCTTCCTTCTGAAGTAAGGGCCGTGTCCTGGGCCCCATCTTCCTTTCCACGTGGGTTGGGCAGCGTGGGTCCCCTTGAATCTGCACCCCCGCCACGCTGGCTTTGCGGCTGCACCCTTTCCTGGAGCAAGCTTCGATGGAGGCTCCAGGGAGGGAGGGAGAGGGGGTGGGCAGGGACGCCTGTGCGGCTCTGGGGATCAGGGTGCCTGTGTCTCCCAGGGCCCGTCTCCTTGTCTCTGCCACCCTCCGCGGCTGCCAGAAGCAGCATGTGGGGCTGAGTGTGCTGGGGACTCACGCGGCCGGGACGGCACTCAGAGGCCTGCCAGTTCTCTCGGCTCCCCCGACAGGAACCGTGTAGAGTACAGATGGCCGAGACCTGTGGACACCACATGTCTTACACCTGCCGTGACCATGCAGCTTCTCGGCTGGGCTCATGGCCGCGGAGGAGAGGGGCTGTGGGCCAGCATGCAGGCCAGCGTCTGGGGGGAGCCTCAGGGAATGCAGCCCAATGCCTCCGTGCGGCTCTCTACAGGCTCCCTCTGCTGCAGAGCTGTGTCCCATCCAACGCTGTCACTGGGCAGTGAGAGGCAGAAGCAGGTCCCTGAGGGAAGCATGGGCCCCTCCTCCCTGCCAGGGTTGTCCCAGCAGCAATTCATCTCTGCACCCCAGAGCCAGTGTGGCAGGAGAGACGTGGCCTGAAGCCTGCTGCGTGTGCATGCCACACGCTGGTGTGGTCAGCTCTGCACCCCCGAGGGGACCCTTTTGGGGGTTGTGATGCTCAGTGCATGTGTGCTGGCGTAGCTGGCCAGGGTCCAGGAACCTGAGGCAGGGAGGTGCTGGTGACCCTTCCCCCAAGATGGCTCACCCAGCCACTGGCCTCAGCACCTGGGCATGGGCCAGATGGTCCCTGCCCCTCCGTAAGCCTGGGGCTAGCAGACCGTCTCATCCCTGGGGACACGTATCCAGCCACACATGGGCTGACCCCCTCCCAGCCTCTGAACTCAACACAGTTTGGTCCCTTCTCTGGCCAATCCTCGGGCTCAGGGCTGGCACACTCTCCCAAGCCAGGGGCAGGTGGGCATGCTGCCCTTGCCCTTGGTCCATGTGGGACTGGCCCTGTCTGTCTCCAGTGCCCAGCATAGTCTCCACACGCCTGCCTCCAGGGCTGGCTGGGCCTGCCCATGCAATCCTGGCCATGCCAGCTGTTGGCTGCAGGCGTGTATCACAGTTAGGGGGTGCAGCCCAGGCTTCCAAGTGCACCAACTAGATAAAGATTCCCACCCCAGCCGAGGGAGAGCAGGCAGGCAAGGGAGACCCCTGGGGAGGGAAAGGCTCCTTGGTCGGGGCTCAGAACCCCGGGCCACTCTGCGGTCACAGCCCCTGCGGCTAACCCCCACCTCCTGGCAGGGGTAGCCTCCGTGAGGTGTCAGGGTGTGCGTGTCCCCAGTACCGTCCTATCACCAGTCCTGGGTGTGGGGGAGGCTTTGGTGCACAATGCAAGTAAAACAATGTGAAAAACGTGCACCAGCACCAGGGGACTCAGAAAACTGCACACACCCGTTTTCTGTCTTTCTGGATACAGCTGTATGAGCGCGTGGCGGGCGGGGCTGTGACCCTGCGCCATGTGTATGATGTGTGTGCGTCCAGCCCCACCCATGGGATGGGCCCCACCCTGCCTTCCCAGACACCCCCACTGGCCCAAGAGGAAGGAAAACCACCGTGGGGACTGGGACTTCTCAGAATTAAGGGGACCCAGGGTCATGGGGATGGGCAGAACGACCCAGAAGGAAGGAGGCACACACCAGAGGACCCCACGCAGACTTGGGGCACACGTGGAGTTGGGACACACCCGTGGTGTTCCGGAGCACAGGCCGCTAAACCACAGAGTAGCAGAGATCAAAGGCTGGGTCCCCAACTGCAGCCGAAAATACCCTGGGCCTCCGCCCCAGAAGCCACAGGCCGGCCAGCGACTGAGAGAAGGGGCCGGTCAGGACGTGGCCAGTGGAAGAGCGGAGCGACACAGCTGCGGGGGGACCTCCCGCCATTGAGTCAGTGTCGGCCCTGTGGCATTTGGCTTCAGTGATCCCTAGGGCAGCTCCTTCCCCTATGCTGGGCAGGAAGGAGACCCAGGAGGCACTTTCTGGAACCAGGCACTTTTAATTGTGAAACCAAGGAGCCTGGAATGTGAGGAGGGAGGGGCGGGGGGCAGAGTTAGGGCGTGGGAGCCCTCAGGTTAGGGTGAGGCCCCTGGGGTCTGGCTGGGCCAGCGTGAGGGACCCATGCTGGGGCTGCAGGGCCCAGGGTCAGGATGGGGCAGGGATGGAGGCCCCACAGAAGGGCCGGGCTCAGGGAAGCACCCTGGGGTCAGTGTCCTGGGGCTGGGGGCCCCCGTCAGGACCCAGCCTGTCAGTCGTAGTCCCCATCTTCAAACTTGGTGCTGAAGAAGGTGGCGGAGCCCTTGGCCAGCCGGGCCAGGTGCAGGGCGCCGGTCACCACCAGCCCCAGGAGCAGCAGCGGCGGCACCAGCGTCCACATCGCGGCCAGGATGTTGTAGCACTTGGCTTTGGAGCCGAAACGCCGGGCCGCTTCCAGGTCCCCGGCCACCTTCTGATCCCGGGCCTGCAGGGTGACCATGGGGCCAGATGTCTACGTGTCCTCAGGGCCTGGGGGCCCTTCCCACCCCCACCCCAGGCACCTAAAAGGCCCCAAAATCTGGATAGAGAGGTGTGGCCTGGGGAGGCACTCCCTGGGGCCCCAGCTATGGACCCAGGGGCCATCCCAGGCCAGCGTGAGCCTGTAAGAGCTCTATGGGTGAGGGTCCCCCAGGGTGCTGAAACACCCCCACCCTGCCACTCAGGAGCTAAAGACCAAGGGGACACTGTTCAAGAAGCCCACAGCATGTGAACCCCCTTGATGACAGACACCTCTCCGGGTGCCTCCCAGTGGCCTCTGTGCTCTTGGGTGGGCCAGACCACCTTAAGAAGGGGCCCCCGCGTTTAATGGAGAAGCCCCGTGGCCTCACCTCTGTGAGGGGCTCTTTCCGGGCCATGCTGATGGAGTCACCTTCACAAGCGGTGCCCACAGAGACCCTCACTGGCAAGCAGAGCCTCCTGCGGCCCCCCAGTAGAGCAAGGACCCCTGGGAAGTTCCGCACGTCCTGCCCCCTGCTCCCTCCCCCCCACCCACCTTGATGGAGTAGGGGTGGAGCCACCCCACCCACCCACCTTGATGGAGTAAGCCAGCGCCAGGAAACCGAGGCAGCACAGGTTCAGGTAGAGGGTGCTGAACACCGACCAGATCAGGTGGTCCCGGGGTGGGGGCTGCGGGGCCCCCAGTGTGAGGGCTGTGTGGGCGCCAGCCTTGCTGGGCGTGGGGGCCCGGGGGTCCTCTCGGGGATACGCGGTGTCCATGGGTTCCAGCGCCGTCTCTTCACACTGAGACTGGAGCTGGGAGGGTGGGCACCCACTCGCTTATAGCCCTGCCGCCCTCCCGGCCCAGCCCCTCAGCAGCTATATTTAACACAAATTACAGCCTGCAGGCTGAGGGTGTGGCCCGCCCCTCAGCCCCCACCCCAGGGAGCCCCGTTTGAGGCTGCCTCAGACCACCCAGCAGGGCCCCTCCTGATGGACATCCCTTCAGGGGGGCTTGGAAGGCTGCTGCCGGGCAGTGGCAGAGACCCCCCACCCCATCGAAGGCTGCTGGCCAAGTGGGCAGTGGGCGGTGCGTAGACCGTTGGCCAGACCCCCCCCACCCCAAGCCAAGAGGAGTCGGAGGTGCCGCCTCAGGGCCATGGGCCTCACAATTCAGGGATATACAGGAGCCCCCTCCTCAGAACCAGAGCTGCTGAGACCACAGCCCATGTGTTCCCAGGACTCCGAACTGCAGTCTGTCCCTGACGCTCTCAGAGCAGGAGCTCCAGGCCCCAGGAGCACAGGCGTCCCTGCAAGGGGACAGGGAGGGCAGCTGTCACAGGACACCTGAGGAGGGAACCTCACGAGAGGGGACGGTGGGGAGATGGGGTGCAGTCTGCAAGGGGCCGGCAGGGGGAACCCCAGGGACCAGCGACAGCTGTTAACCCCGGCGTCGGGGCTCAGGGCGCCTGCGGACTCCTGTGGTGGACGCATCCGTCCTCAGCCTCCTTCCTGCCCTCCCTAATCCCAGAATGTCCGTGTTGAGGGGTCCGGTTAGGGCTCGAGGTCCCCCCTGGTCTTGTCTCTGGCTGTAGATGCCTCTGTACGCTGACGACGCTCATTCATGTCTCTAGCCCAGACTTCCCCTTAGAAACACTGGTGTGGGTCCCCAGCTCTGGATTCTCACACCCGGTGCCTGCTCTGTGCAGAAGGGCTCACTGGACCCCCATCCACTCCCCAACCCTTTCCCCAGCCGTGGTGCTCCTGCACCCATCCGGCCAGAAGGCCCAGCTTCCCAGTCTCCCAGCCGGCCACACTCCCAGGGGCCTGTGACCAAGCTGCCCTCCCCTCCTCCAGGACCCGCACTGGCCACCTGCAGGGGATGGTTGGGTGGGGGGTTCCTTCCTGCTGTTGAGCCTGTGGACCCCAAACGTCTGAGACAA